CAAAACAAAACAAAACAAAACAAAAGTGGAAAAAACGGATTCTGTCAATTCCAGGCCACTGCTGTTCAGACTAAGAGCTGTGGGCACCAATGGGTGGTAGCTGCCCAGTTTGGAAAGTCTTCGTGAGACCCTACAATGTATGAGGAGAGGAAAAATTCTCCAACCAGGGCTATGGGCCCAGCTGGCACTTTCTTTGGAAGGAACTGGGGGAGAGAGGAAATTTTTAAATTCTCAATTTCAGGTCTTTCTTTAGGAGTAATATTTAAAAGTGGTGCATGCCGAGTCAACAGGAATACATGAGCCTGGAGTTCATCCCCCATGGAGACAACCAAAATTTCATAGAACAGTACCCATTTCCTGTTTCCCACTGCCTCTGGGATGAGTAATTTTGGAAGTGGAGGGGCGATGAGTGGTAATGACAGTTCTCTGTTCCCTGTGGCTTCCTCAGGGAGCACACAGTGAGCCACGGCGGTGTGAAACCAGAACCCTCCCACGAGGGCAGCAGAAAGAATTGGGCACTTTCTGTGGCTAAACTGATTTCAAAAGCCAAACTGAGTTCTTGGACCTGCTGGTGAGCAGGTGGCAGGGAAGTCCTGGCGTTCAGCAGAAAGATGATCCTGGGCAGAACAGGCACCTTTCCTGGGCTCTCCCCACCCCAGCCTCCCCAGGGACTCAGGTCCCAGCCTCCGCAGTACAAGATAACCTCGGGGGTTTTTGCTCTTGTTCTTGTTTTTTAGCCTAAAAGCAAACTTGAAAATTTCACACCATGATAGAGAATGAAAGCTTGTCATTTCAGTTTTAGTGCAAATGTCCAAAACGTTTTCTCCAATCTTCTTTTTGTCCAGCTACTTAGAGGATTAACTCTGTGATGGTTTTCTCAATGGCCTCCTTTGCTCTGAGGATCCCCTTTGCTGCTTGGCAGAAAACACTTTTAAATCTTGTTTGAAGACTATTCTTGCTACTCTGAGTTCCTTGGCCCCTACATCCTAACAATGTTATGCCTCGACCACGGGATTCCTAAGCCATGAACACAGAAAGCCATTGCATCTACACTGTGACTTTCCCATAAGAGTCCTCTGTCGCTGAGAGATTTGTCGATGTTTTATAACCTGGCTCCTACAAATCCTCTTCAGCTTTTAAGCCAAGACCTCTAGAATGAGCCAAACTGTTATCTCCCCAGGCTTTTAAAACCTTAAGTCATGTTACACGTACAGCATAAGACACGTTGTATAACTCAATATTCTCCAAACAAGAAGATAACTCACCAGGATGATGGGGTTAGAAGAATACAGAAACTCCACAAACCTGCTGCACAGACAGGGCTAATCAACCCAATTATACCCAAGGTGTAAACATGACCATCCTAGTCTCCTGCCACCATTGGCCCATCCAGCCCAGAGTTGGTATCGATCGCCTTGAATTGAATCAAATTGAGGTTATTTGGAGGCTAGAAAATAGGCAGAAAACTCTGAAACAAAAAATATAGGAATAGTCCCGATGTCTCAAAGAATATGCTGAGATCAATTATAAATATGTTGCCCTCCAACTATATGAGAAGAAAATGCCTTGTGGTTTCACAAAGGCCAATGGAATGACCTTTTGAAATGTGTGTCCAGCTATCTTGGGTCTAAAGGGATGGTGAGGAGCTGGGCAAGGCCATCAGTGGCAGTTGAGGTCAAAGGAAATGTCATGTCACCAGAAGGGCAGAGAGATGAAGCTGAGTGAGTGATGGCCCAGCAGAAGAGTCTGCTCTGCAGGAAGACAGGGGAATTGGGGAACTCCTGGCACAGCCCGAGTCTTGTCAAACATAGGAGAGGGCGGGGAGTAAGGGAGGAAAACACATACAGAAGAGACCAGCCACTTTCCTGAAATACATATGGGATTTATGTCTAATGTGGGAACAAGGTTGACAATTACAAACAGATTTCAGAAAACCATGAGCCAGTTCGTGGGAGTGGGTTCAAAGAAAGTTCAAAAAGGAAAAATCAGATTGCTTTCTCTGAGCCAGTCATCCTGGGACCAGAAGACATACTGGAGACCTCTTCTCATGCCTGCTCCACCTCCACCTCACCCCCCAGACACAATCCCAAACCATTCCAGGTGTCTAAATTTCTAAAATGAAAACCTGAAGAACATCTCTTTCTTTCTTTAAAAAAACATTTGTTTTTCGGTGGTAAGTCTCAAAAAATTATCTCATACTTCACTGTCATTTAATGATAAAAGCTGAGGCCAGGTGATCTCTATTTTATCTTTCCTTAGCACATTTATCAACTTTAATTGAATCGTGTTCTCTATGCTTACAAGCTTAAGTTGCTTCATGGAACATGCCAGTACATAATGGGTTAGCCCCCTGTAACCAGACTTGCCTGAAAGTAGTGGGGTAGAACGTCCTAGAGCTGCTTTTGTTCCCTGGTGTGGGGCGTCTCCCCACCCACATACTTGTGGAGACCATGTGATTCTGCCTGCTCACATCCTATGACACGAGGGTGGAAAGGGGCCGACACCCCAGACTAGGAATGCCCGCCAGAGCTCCGTGCGTCCGGCTCCCAGGGGCGCACCAGGTGAGGGAGAGCCCAGCCCCTTCTCCCGCCCGGGCTGAGAGCGGGCGGGGACACCGGGGCGGAGTTGGACGCGGGGCGGGGCGCTTCGGGCTGGGTCCGCGGTTCCAAGAGCTGGGGAGGCAAGCGCCCAATCCCGCTGCAAGAGCAGGATCGCTGTGCTCCCGGGAAGCGCGCTGGGGCAATTCAGAAAGAGAGACACCCCCCTACACACACACACACACACACACACACACACACACACACACACACACACACACCCCGCTGCGCCTTTGCAAGCGCGGGAAGGCGGCAGGGAAGCAGGTAAGTGCCGAGGACGGCGGACCAAAGCTCCATTGGCAGCCGACGCCCACTTTTTCTAGGAAGGATTGACCTGCTTTGCCTCCAGCATTCCTCGGGATGCACCCTGAACGGCTCGAAGTAGAGGAGTTGGTGCGGGAAGAGCGCCCCACGCCCCCCACCTGCTGAGCCCGGGCGGAGGACCGTCCATGGGACGGGAGTGTGGGCGGGTGAAGGATGCTGGCGGGCAAGCGCCCATTTACAGGGAACGGCGTGGGGAGGGATGCGCCTTCTACAAAAGAGGGAAGCTTTGGGGGGAAATTTCCTCTTACCGCATCTATCTCCACCCGCAGTTTTCTTCTCGCCCCGCACGCTTTGCTTTTTTGGAACCCGAATTTCTGACTTGAATCTCGCCTCTGCCGAGGCGGCTCCTCTGAGGACCGCGCGACCACGCGGGATAGTTTCATCGGGAAAGGGGAGGAGAGGGTTCCTGGGAGAGTTGGTCAAGGACAGGATGCAGCCCGTGGAATGGGGCGATGGGCTGCCCACTCCAGGTGCGCCCCCTTCCTCTGGGGTCCCGGGACTGCAGAGGCGCGGAGCGTAGTGGCCAGGAGGGCGTGATTCCTGCTTCTCCATCTGGGGCTGTACTGTCGGGCGTTGGGCCTCCCGTAAGTCCTAGAGGCGACCGGGAGGAAGGACACCCGGTCTGCGAATGCCACAGGAACTTGAATCTCACCTCTCCGAAGGTTTAGCTCTAACGTATGCAGCGGGCAGAAGCACCGAAGACGCCGTTCCTCCATTCCCAGGGCTTGCTCTTCCCCTCCTCTCAGAGGGCGGGGCCATACCACCTATCCAATTGGGTCCACTTCTTGCTACCAGCATCCCGCGGCCCCCACACTTGGAGTCTTCCTCCGTGTATTAAGGGGAAGGGGTGCAGGCGGTCACTGGAGCCCCCATTTCGGGTGTTGGGGGTCCGCGTTCTTTTTCCAACCGACTCTTCTGCCGTCTTGAACTCAATGACACTCTATCTCCTGAAGGCTCAGTACTTCAGAGATTTTATTTCCTTTCCCGCAGGGAACTTGAGGATGTAAAGGACAGCCCAGTCCTCAGGCCCTCCCGGCTCCTCGCTGACACTTGCCTGCCCCTAGCAGGGCTGTTTCCAGTTGGGCCCAGTCTTGGAGCAGCTAGCACTCTCAGAGGACACACACCTTGGTGACAGGCCATGGTACTCCCAGTCAAGGCTGATTCCGGGAGGGGAACTGGGGGCAAAGGAAGGAGGGAAAGCAGACAAAGGATTTCTTTCTAAAGCTGGTTCCCAGAATGTAGGGTAGCGGTTGAAGAATGCTTTCCCGCCCACAGCCCCCTCCACCTGTGGATCTTGTTTAGGATCTTCATTCATTCATCAACAGATTCCTATAGGTTTCCCTCTATGTGCCAGGCCCTGGGCTGGGCAGCAAGAGTTTGGCTAACAAGAAGATTGGCATGCAGAGAGCATAAATCACTGCCCCAAGATGATTCAGCCCATCCACGTGAAGATAGGTTTGGTCATTTCCAAGTCCATGATTTGGCCAGGAAAGAGGGAACAGTGCCCTGCTTAGAGGAAAGACCCTTTTGTATCCCAGTCCTTCGGCTTCATTGTCCCTGGCTAATGGATGGCACCACATTGTGTCTGCCGTAGGTGCCTGGGCTAGCTGCCTGGAGTAAGCTGCCTGAAGCAGCCCTTGGGAGTGTGGTGGCTGGGCAGTTAAAGGGGTCCCTTCCCCTGAGGGATGGAGAAGGCCAAGATACACATTCTTCTTGCATGTCTTTGGAGAGTACAGCCCATCCTATGCCCAGTCCCTCCTGACAGCCCAACAGCCAGTGGAGGATTTCCCAGTTTCTAGATTTCATGTCTCCTCTCCCCTGTACGCTGGGTAAGTTCTGTCTGTGGGTGGGCACCAGGTCTAGTTGGCCTTACCTGGAGAATGCTACCAGATGTTCTCCTGTATGTTGTGCAACTGGCTGTGTCTCCTTCCAGGATCCAGGATGGCATGTTGACTCTCCCAAAGATGTGGGCAGGGTGCTAGGCCCACCGGCCTTATGAGAGCAGAAAATCTGGACCCCCGAGCTCAGCGTATTCAGATCCTGAGACCTCCACCCACCACTCCACCTGCAAGCTTCATCATGGCCACCCAGAATGTAAACAATAGTTTTGCACCCAACTTCAGTTCATTCCAAGACCATGTCTCCTCCCTTCCCTTCAATTTCACTTATGATTATGACCTCCCTCTGGATGAGGATGAGGATGTGACCAAGACTCGGACCTTCTTCACAGCCAAGATAGTCATCGGTATAGCACTGGCTGGCATCATGCTGGTTTGCGGCATTGGCAACTTTGTCTTCATTGCTGCTCTCGCCCGCTATAAGAAGCTGCGGAACCTCACCAATCTGCTCATTGCTAACCTGGCCATCTCTGACTTCCTGGTGGCCATAGTCTGCTGCCCCTTCGAGATGGACTACTATGTGGTGCGGCAGCTCTCCTGGGAGCACGGCCACGTACTCTGTGCCTCAGTCAACTACCTGCGTACAGTATCACTCTACGTCTCCACGAATGCTCTGCTGGCCATCGCTATTGACAGGTGAGGATGTTGGGCAGGAGTAAAAATGGGGATTGAACCGGGCTGCCCCTTTCCTCACTTCAGCTCTGACTGTTTGCATTGCTTCATATGTGAATGCTTGCTGAGCTATCACAGGGCAAGAGGGGACCTGGTTTTTCCAACTGTGGCTCATGCTCCCAAATGGGAGCAAGTGTGAGGCTCCTGAGCCCCCCAGCTCTGGACTATGTCCCAAATACGACAGATGTATATGTATGTTACCTGACCATAAGTTGTATCATACACAAAGCAAAAGCAGAAAGTTTAAGCGGCTTAATACTTAGAAGCCACGTGAGAGTTAACCAGAGCAGCTTCCAGTCAAGGTGGATTGTACCCAGTTATTCTGTAACCACTACCCAGGTCGAGATATAGAACATTTTTTGCCAAAACCGTTTTACACTTGATCTTAGCCAAAAGGCCGAGAAGCGATGCCAAAACCATTTTAGTTCAGTGGATAGAGCGTCTGCCTGCGGACTAAAAAGTCCCAGATTCAATTCCGGTCATGGACACGTACCTTGGTTGCAGGCACATCCTCAGTGTGTGTGTGTGGGGGCGGGGGGGGGGGGAGGGTTGCAGGAAGTAGCTGATCGATGTTTCTCTCTCATCAATGTTTCTAACTCTATCTCTCTCTTACTCTCTGTAAAAAATCAATAATATATACGTATTTTTAAAAAGATATAGAACATTTTCATCACCTAGAAAACTTCCTGATGCCCCTCACCTGCCAATCCTCCCACCACACACAACCCTGTTATTTAACTTTATAAAAGTGGAATCACACAGGATGTACTCTTGTTTCTATAAAATCAACAACTGGGCTTGTTTGCAGAAAAGAAAGGAAAAGCTTCTTTTGCTTTTTTGTATACATGTATATGCTCATTTGCATATATTTGCATGAGATGTTCTTGCTTTGCTATAGATTTGTAAATTTTCTAATAGCAACTTATGATAAATCAGACACATGTTTTATTTCTGCAGTGTTGTAGGCCAGCAGGGGCTGTTTGAGGGGAACAGTTTGTGTCACATTCATTGTTAGCTGTGCTGAGACTTGTCTTTTTTTAAAAATATATATATTTTATTGATTTTGTACAGAGAGGAAGGGAGAGAGAGAGTTAGAAATATCGATGAGAGTCATCGATCAGCTGCCTCTTGCACACCCCCTACTGGGGATATGCCCGCAACCAAGGTACATGCCCTGGTCCGGAATCGAACCCGGGACCTTTCAGTCCCCAAGCCGACGCTCTATCCATTGAGCCAAACCGGTCTCGGCGAGACTTGTCTTGATAATGTGTTTTTTATCATCTTTTTTCCCTTTTGTCTCCTTTCAACCCTTTTGTTTTTCTCTAGTTTTCAGTGCTATTTTGGTTTGTTGTCCTTTTTTATCAACCAGTTGATTATTGTTTATGATAATAAAATGTACATACATAAGAGACATATTTTTTATAACAAAACTAGAGACCTGGTGCTTGGATTTGTGCACTGGTTGGGGGCATGGCCTGCAGGGATCAGCCTGCTGTGGGAGCACTGCTCATCCCAGTCAGCCCAGCAGCTGCAGGAGTGCACTGACCTCTAGGAAGCAGCTCTTGCATTGAGCATCTTCCCTGGTGGTCAGTGCATGTCATAGCGAGTGGTCGACCAGTCATTCTGGTCGTTCTGCCATTCAGTCACTGGGCTTTTATATATATAGATTCCTGCAGGAAAAACAATTTTGTTATTGCAACTCTGGTGTTCTCCAGTCCTAAAACTAATGTTTATGAAATGTACCCATCAACCAACTGCAAAATTTCCTAGGCTACCATTTAATACAGTGAATCAAAGATTCCTGGGCCCCACTCCAGCCCTGCTGAGTGGGAATTCCTGGGCTAGGTCTACATTTCTAATTCCCTGAGTGATTCTGATGTTTACTCAGGTGAAAATTATTACTTTCCTCATCCCCTTTGTCCCACTAAAATCTTTTTGTCTTTATAATGTAGGGTATGTTTTTTAATGTAACAGGAGTTACATTACTTAAGAGCAACCAGGTAAATATGGCTGTTCTCCTACATATAAATATAAATATCAGAAGGACTACCTACTGCCAATAAGAATAAGGTTCATGTTTAGAGGGCCTGGAAGAGATGCTATGTCAAGTCACAGAAATCCTAGAAGGAGCAAATAGATGGTAACAAACACCTTGCTTTAGGGTGTCAATGTGACTTCACCCACCTTCTCATCTGAGCTTGAGAAAGCCTAAAGAGATGGTTGTAAAAGTTTTGTGTCTGAAACCTGAATTCTGGTCCCAGTACCAAGTGAGCATGGGCAAGTCATTTACTTCTCCTTAGATTCCTTAGATTCCACCTCAGACCACCGTACTCTCCTGCTCAGTAATGCAAGATGATACTAGCAGGGGAGGAGAGAGAAAGCCCTAGTCCACTGTCTTGAAAAGGGCCCCACCTCTTTATAGCATGAGATATTTGTAATGAAAAGTTTTCAAAGTATTGTGTTCTTGGTCAAAATGGCAAGATTGAAAGCCAATAATAGACCATATGTACTTATTGAACACCTACTACATGCCAAGCATTTTGCTAACATTGTATTTAATGTGCACAGCAGCCCTGCCACGTGGTTGTCATTTTATCCCATGTTGCAGTTGAGGAAATATATCTCAGAGAGACTGAATGCTTCACTCCATACCCCAAAGCCAATCAAAGGAAAAGCTGGGATTTATTCCATCTGTTTGACCCAAGTTCTATGTTGTTTCCTCTACACCACTCACTTCGCCAAAGGCCAAATGATGTTGTTAATAAGACAAAGCTTGTTGAAGCTGGATAACTAGGTGCATGGGATCTAACTGAGACACTTTGCCTGCTTTTGTATGTGTTTGGGGTTAGTAAGAAACTAATAAATGTTCTCAATAAAATGTTCTACCTATTATTATTATTATTATTATTATTAATTATTATTATTATTATTGATGGCTTCCGTCCCCCACCAGATATCTCGCCATCGTTCACCCCTTGAAGCCACGGATGAATTATCAGACGGCCTCCTTCCTCATCGCTTCGGTCTGGGTGGTGTCCATTCTCATCGCCATCCCGTCTGCCTACTTTGCCACAGAAACGGTCCTCTTCATCGCCAAAAGCCAGAAAAAGGTCTTCTGCGGCCAGATCTGGCCGGTGGACCAGCAGCTCTACTACAAGTCCTACTTCCTCTTCGTCTTCGGCGTGGAGTTCGTGTGCCCCGTGGTCACCATGGCCCTGTGCTACGCCAGGATCTCGCGGGAACTCTGGTTCAAGGCCGTCCCCGGTTTCCAGACGGAGCAGATCCGGAAGCGGCTGCGCTGCCGCCGGAAGTCGGTGCTGGTGCTCGTGTGCATCCTCACCGCCTACGTGCTGTGCTGGGCGCCCTTCTACGGCCTCGCCATCGTGCGCGACTTCTTCCCCGCCGTGTTCATCAAGGAGAAGCACTACCTCACGGCCTTCTACGTCGTGGAGTGCATCGCCATGAGCAACAGCGTCATCAACACCGTGTGCTTCGTGGCGGTCAAGAACAACACCCTCAAGTACTGCAAGAGGATGATGCGGCTCCACGGGCGCCCCTCGCACCACGGAAGCAAGTCCAGCACAGAGCTCGACCTCCAAACCAGCGCCGTGCCGGCCACGGAGGAGGTGGACTGTATCAGGCTGAAGTGACCCTCTGGCTTTTCACAACTGAACATCCAAAAGCCAGCTCTGAGAGTAAAATTCATGGGTAGCCAAGTTCATAGGCTGCATGTGGAAAGGGGCAACTGTGTTCATGCCTCTCTGCCCTCAAGTTACTGGATGCTTCTCCGTCATAACACGGAAGGAGACCCTGCACAAATCACAGCAGCTGACCTTGACTGATACCTGCTCAACACCTAGTGTATGCACAAGCACACCAGTAAGACTAAACAGAAGTAATAGCTACTAACATTGAACAGATTATGTGCTAGCTAGCCACACCCAGGAGGTTAGACTAGAGCAACAGGAGCTGACCTTTATTGATCACCTACCTTGTGCAAAAAAAAATATTTAAATAACAAGCCCAGATGATGTGACTCAGGGGTTGAGCAGCCACCTATGAATCTGGAGGTCACAGTTCGATTCCCTGTCTGGGCATATGTCTGGATTGCTGGCTCGTCCCTGTTGGGGGGCATGCAGGAGACAGCCCATCAATGATTCTCTCATCACTGATGTTTCTATCTCTCCCTCTCCTTTCCTCTCTGAAATCGATAAAAAATCTATTTTAAAAATAACAAAATGGCAGAAGCTATTGGAATCACCAAGTTATATATGGATATATAAGTGCTCTGGATTATCTGGACTCACTCTCCATCTCCCCTCATTCTGCATCTCATCAGTGCAGGAATGTCAATAAAATAAAACACCTAGACTTGGTGGAAATGTAAAAAGAAGTTTGTCCGAGTATGGGGCTTACAGCCTCTTCGGAAGAGAGTTCATGCCATCACATTGAGCTTTTCCACTCAGCTCTTACTGCCTCCCTAGGACATTCTCTAGGATCCTGGCTTCCAGAAAAGAATTTTCCTCATAGCCCATTTGTTATTTATTGGGGTGTGATTTCAAAGGAAAGAACCAAAAAAATATTTTCCACTGATACTTGAAAGCTCATCATCCTTTTGTGTGAAGACAGATGATCCTGAAACAAGAACCACATCCAGTTCCTAATACCTTAGTTTAAAGTATTTCAGAGTCAGGGAGGAAGGGGACAGAGTAAAGAGTAGAATTTGCCACGGCAAAGAACATAATCAGTGTGGCTGTTTTGCTAAGGCCTGGACCACTTTTCTAAAATAAACCCTCTTTTACAAAATGAACTATACTTGGAAAGTGCTTTTCAACTATATGAGTAATAAGAACGGATCACCCGGCCAGTGTTGCTCAGTAGTTGAGCACTGACCTATGAACCAGAAGGTCATGGTTCAATTCCCAGTCAGGGCACATGGGATAAGTGATATTGAATGGTGTGTCTGGACAAGGGAAACCATTCACTGGCTTACTAAGGAGCTTTTTCAACCCTATTTGGAACAAAGCACCCTGAACTTTTCACAATGCAGCCTGTCTACACTGGGGCAAAAAAGAAACCCCTGTCCTGGGTTACAATCTGAAAGATTCAACTTCAGAGTCTCGGTGATCACCAGGCTTTCAGCAACCCATGGTCCTAGAAGTGTTGAAAACCATCCCTGCATGTTTCATACCTCAACACTGCAGAATTGGTGGTAGTATTATACATCTGTGGTGATTGTGTGTATTTGTCCCAATTTCTTTCTGATTAGCTTTGAGGCAAAGGCTATACAAATGGTACCTGGTTTGGGATTGGCCCATTCCCATTTGGAAAACTATTTTTTCCTATAGAGAAAGTGTTATTTGGTCGTTTGTATGGTTTTTTAAAATTATTTATTTCTTCACTAAACAGTGAAGTTTCCATCAACATTTTCTTCCATCACCACCCAGCAGACACCTGCAAGTCCAATCACTATACCCTCAGAAAATGGAAATTCATTTTCTTTGTAGCCAAAGCCAAATAACTTGTAAGTTTTGATTTTATAAAATCACACATTGCATTCTAAAGCCAAGCAAATAATTATTTGGGGTTATCTGCATTTTTAAAAATATAATAATAATTGTATTTCTATTTATTACCCCCTTCCCGACTCTTCTTCTAATAAGAAAATTCTTTAAGAGTAGACTGTATACAAAAGAAAAGAGTAGACTGTGGTACAAATTGTGTCTGTTAATAGAATTCATCTCTTTTTCATTTGATCCAAAATGTACCATCCTTTCTTCATTTAAATGTAACTGAAATAATCATTAGTTTGTGTGTTTGTAATTTTCCAGTGAATAAGAGTGCTATGTTATTATCAAATGAAATATTAACATATGGAATCTTAACCACAGTGTTTGAGCATTTGCCCCACTAATCTTTAATATATGTTAGATATTTAGATATAAATGAAATAATAGCCTTCTAAACAATTCAACTCTGAAACAGAAAGGGAATTCTTAAAGATATTTTAGAACAGTGGCAACTCATATCAGCACCCGCCTCATCTTGAGTACATCCTTCCAGTTTACAGCCCAGAAGTGTATTCATGCATGCAAATAAGCAGAGAGCAGCTACTCCATGCCCATTTTACCCTTTCATTTTAAAATTATGTCGTTTGTTTAATGAAAATTGCTGTTTGCATGGAAACTGTTCATTCATCTAACTGGTGTTAAGGTAATAAATTAATTATACTTGTGTTTAACGTTTTCTTCTCGACTAATTAATGGTAAGTGTGGGATACTTTTAATATGCTAAGATATATAAAAATTTACACCTATTATTATATTTTGGAAATTTAATCTCATTTTGCAAAAAGGGTTTATTTTCTCAGTCAGAATAAAAAGAAAAGATGTCTTTATGATGAAGCTATTAGAGATTTTTCTTTCAGCATCCAACATCTAAAATAAGTTGATTCTCAAGTTGAAGAAATCAAAAGATGGCTTTAAGCCCTTCAGGCATAAAAATCGATTTGAAACTTACAAGGGAGAATGTGACATATGGGAGGTGATTAGAAAACTTAAAGAGAGTTGTTTCTGTGAGGAAATGATAGCTTTGAAACTGATCTCTTCGATTTAACAATTATTTCTCCACTGGCTCCAGAAGATACACACACACACACGCGCACACACACACACACACACACTAATAGGACACCAGAACAGGAAAAGACTTAAGGGCATATAACTCAACTCACTTCTTTCTTAGGCAAGAAGATCTGCATTCCAAATGAGGGAATGACTTACTTAATGATGCAGTTAATCCTTGCTAGAACCACAGCATTGGCCAAAGATCTCACTCTGGTTCAGTGAACTGAACTTAATAACTACCTCCCTTTGAGTCCAAATGAGGGGTCCCTCTCTAAGAATGCTTAAAGGGCCCTTTAACCTGTTTCTGACCCACTAGGAAGTGAGCAGTGTTCACACAGACAGTCATGTGCTGTCAACAGAGTTTTCCTGGCTCATGAACCCCAAAAGCCTGGAGACTTCAGTGTGGGGTCAGCTCCCCAAAAAGAGTTGGGTATGAATGTGCACAGTATAAGGAATGGGAGCAAGCTCAGATCAATATTCAACTTGTTAATCCTCTCAACTTTAAAAATGAAAGTAACCCTATCCAGTTTGGCTCAATGGACAGAGCGTCAGCCTGTGGACTAAAGTGTCCCGGGTTCGATTCTGGCCAAGGGCACATGCTGGGGTTGCGGGCTCAATCCTCAGTAGGAGTGTGTGCAGGAGGCAACCAATCAATTATTCTTTCTCATCATTGATGTTTCTCTCTCCCTCTCTGAAACCAATAAAAATATATTTTAAAATTAATTAATTAAAAATGAGTGTAAAGAGACTCGAGGCCGAGACCGGTTTGGCTCAATGGATAGAGCGTCGGCCTGTGGACTGAAAGGTCCCAGGTTCGATTCCGGTCTAGGGCATGTACCTTGGTTGTGGGCACATCCCAGAAGGGGGTGTGCAAGAGGCAGCTGATCGATGATTGTCTCTCATTGATGTTTCTAACTCTGTCCCTCTCTCTTTCTCTCTGTAAAATATCAATAAAATATATTTTAAAGAGAGAGAGAGTGAGAGAGAGAGAGAGAGAGAGAGAGAGAGAGACTTGAGGATAGCCCTAGCCAGTTTGGCTCAGTGGCTAGAGCATCAACCTGAGTACTTAAGGGTCCCGGGTTCGATTCCAGTCAAGGTCACATACCTTGATTGCAGGCTTGATTCCTGGGCCCCATTGGGTGCCTGCAGGAGGCAACCAATCAGTGGGTCTCTCTCACATTAATGTTTCTCTCCCTCTCTGTCTCTCCCCCTTTCTTCCACTCTCTCTAAAAATCAATGGGAAAATACCCTCAAGTGAGGATTAACAAGAGAGAGAGAGAGAGAGAGAGAGAGAGAGAGAGAGAGAGAGAGAGAGAGGGACTCAAGGATATATACGTGGATGTGTATATACGTGTATACAAACAGACACATATATAGGGTTCCCAGGCAATTACTTTATGGAAATAGGATCACACTATACATCTATTTCTACATCTAGTTTTGCTCACTCACTGCTTGGGAAAATATCTCCAAGTTGTCTGCACAACTCTGACATGCTCCCTTCACTGAGTGCATAGTGCTCCACAGTGTGACTATGCCACATCCAAGCATGCCTCCACTTGTGGCAATTTTATTCCTGGTTCGCTTTTGGCACAACAAACAAGGCTGTAATAAGCATCTCTGTACCAATCCTTTTGTACAAACTGGCGGTTTTAGTTCACAGGATAGATTTCCAGAAGGTGGGTACTGGGGCAAAGGTAGATGCATTTAAAAAAAAATTTTTTTTGTATCGTTTTATTCAAGCATAACAGTAAAATGCACAATTCTTAAGTGCATGGTTCAATGAATTTTTAAAGGGCACATTTATATGTTTTTAAATTGTGATAGCTATTGCCAGATTGTTGTTTATAATTTACAATTCCACCACAATGAGTGTGAGAGATGCCCTCACATCCTTGCCAGGACTTTTCCTTCCCAGTTGGTTGAGTATAAAGTGACACTCACTTTAATGTTTATAAATGAAATTGCATAGTATGTAAATTTTCAAGTTTGGGCATTTGCACTTGCCATCCATTTCTGGGACT